GAATGCCATGATGGGTATGAAAGCAAAAGTGGAAACATCACAGATTCCATAACATGTGGTGAAAATGGCTGGTCCCATTTGCCAACATGCTATAGTAAGTATTGGAATTTTTGTTATTTATTTTTCTAGAATTAAAATATATGTGTACGTATTCCTTGTTTGAGTATACATTACTCTGAGACATTTTTAAAGCTCAAGACTGAAATGCAAACTGTATCCTTTGGAAAATAAATAAGATATAGTTACTAGTACATTAAGAGCTTTATTTAGATAGTGTCCAATGAATTATTGATTTTTCCAAAATAAAGTGTTTTCTGTTTAGATTCTCTAGAAAAATGTGGGCCTCCTCCACCTATTAGCAATGGAGACATCACATCCTTCCTATTAAAAGTATACCTTCCACAGTCAAGAGTCGAGTACCAATGCCAGTCCTACTATGAACTTCATGGTTCTAAATATGTGACATGTAGTAATGGAGAGTGGTCAGAGCCACCAAGATGTATACGTAAGTTCTTAATATTCTTCTAGATTCTGAGAATATTAGGGTACTAAGTTTGCCATTACCTACTTATAGCAGAATTTCATGGGTTATTTCAATGGAACTGTGTTCACAAACAGTTATTCTGTTGACTTTCAACTATTAATATATAAAAGTTATAAGCTTGGAAAATTTCTATGTAAACAAAGGCAAAGCTTTTTTAAAAAGGGGGGAATGTTCGCAGACCTCAACTTGCTAATGGGCGCTATGAATCTTCAAGAATAACCCCCATTTATTATACACACAGGAATGTGGGATGTCACTTAACACCAGTAACTATTTTCACATTATTTACATTTTTCTACAGAGTTTTCAAAGAGAGTTTGGGGATGGGTGCAGCAGCACATACTGGTAAAACCAGTAAATGTAGGAGGTCAAAGCAGAAGGATCATTTGAGGCCAGGATTTTGAGAAAAAACTTGAAAAACACAGCAAGATCCTGTCTCTACAAAAACAGAAAAAGAAAAAAGAAATTAGCCAGGCATCATGTTGGGTGCCTATAGCGCTATCTATCAGCAGGCTGAGGCTTTAGGATTGTAAGAGCTCAGGAATTTGAGGCTGCCTTGAGCTGTGATTGTGCCACTCCACTCTGGCCTGGGTGACAGAGCAAGACTCAAAAAATCAAACAAAAAAATAGTTTGGCAAGTATTGTTTCAAGAAACCATGGATCATTACCTGTAATTCTATTTGAAAACCCAAAAGGTTTCTGGTAGAACAAAGAGCTGGTTAACACTGCTAAGTCTTTGCTCTGTTTGTCTTACTTGTATTTTACTAGTTTCTAGCAAGGAAGAACAAATTAATGAATATTTCAGAAATTTCCAGAAATCACCACTTTCCCATTTCTACCTTCATCTTCTCTTCTTTCATCCTAAGATTGACATGAATACACTGAAAAATTTTCATGTCCCTAATGTACATATTTCCAGAATTCTGGCCCCGATATCCTACCAACTTAAAGTAATACAAAGCAAAGAATATGAGGCACAATAATAATGGCAACAACAACAAAACTTGACCAATGTTTGCCACAAGTTTCTACCAGCCTACTGGCCCTGCTGATCAGACAAGTTTTTCCCTTTTCCTACTTAGATAGTTCCAATAAATTAGATAGTTAGATAGTTCCTATTTAGTTTCCAAGAGATTAATTCCTACATTAATTCTTAAACTCAATGTTCTCAAGTTCTTAAAGTTTGCAAGTTCCTAAGTATAGGATAATACCTATACTTATACCTACAGGATAATATCTAAGATAAGAACTTATAGCAGTTCCTTTCTCTGATGGGACTCCTTTCCTTTCAGCCTTTTTAACTTTCAC